GATAGTGCAGTGCCAGAATCCAAACAAAATGAATGCAACTCTTCTATCATCTTTTCTTGAATTATCTGACATCAGAAAACTGAGTAAGTCTGTAGTATCACATTAGTTCCTACCAGCTACATGCTGAGAATTCTAGAGTTGGACAGATAAAGAAACATTCAGGTCTATCTAGGAATTTTCTCCTATTATCCAATTATGAATCTCCAAGTTCCTGACTTACATTTCTCTTTCAGTGTTCCATTATTTTAAATGTATCATGTCTCAAAAGAAACCTATTTTGCCTTGAAATTTTCCTCATTGATTTTCTGAATTAATCGATGCCACCTTATTTAAAAGTATATATATTTTATTTTATATAAACTGTATAGTCAACTGTAGATCTGGAATTGCAAGATGGGAAACACATCTTGGATATAAAAAATATGAGGTTGGAAGTAGATATATTTTCTGATAAGCAAGCTTTGAAATAAGATTTTTTTTAAAAGGCTATGGAGGAAAAGATTCAAATCCAAGTTGGTTTCATATATTACACTTAGCCATAATGTAATTTAATTTGGTTTGTACTCACAAGTTGTATCTTAGCATGAACCTGGGAAGATTTTTTTTCAGGTCAAAGACATGCTTTGGCTTTTAGGACATGGTTGTCCGAAAGCGGGTAGACTGTGGCAAAAAGTAAACTTACATCTAAATTATGAATTTTAAACGTGGTTAATATAGGGCTACTCAAATAGGTTGAAAAAATCCAGTTGAGTATTAGAAGATAGAAGAGATACAGAAAAGATATATTTTACTTCCATCTACCGCAGTAGTTCTCCTTTTTGTAGCCCAAAGATTTCTCTTTATGCATGTAATAATTCTTTTCTATCCTGTTAAACATAAGAATTCTATGACTTTTTTGCAAAGATTTCCTGGCTGTATCCAAACATTTTGGAGCGTTATGCTTTTCTGCCACAAGAGATTTGTGAGAACTGAAAATCTGACCATAGAATGATTTACATGGTATAATAAGAAGCATCTATTGATGCAATATGTTTTTCCCTTGCTAGAGTTATTTGCTGTTGAAAAAGAAAAAAAAATCCAGATGGTTTGAATAGATTAGAGCTGTGCACGGTTCAAAAGTTATTTGGTAAAAACTTTGGAACTTCTGTGAGTGTAGCATCTCTCTGCTACTCATTAAAGAAGCCATGTCTGGGGGGGGGGGAGGAATTCTATGGAAACTTGGAAGTAGGTGTGGCAGCCCTTAAGGGCTTATTAGTATACTTCTAAAACAGCTGCATCTTTGGGAGGACTTGTATAAAAGATGTGTGCAGTATACATGTGAGTTGTGACATACTTTGTTCAAATCATTTTTGAAGTGCAGACAGAGATGGGTGTTTGACATAAAGTGATCTTAAACTACATTTAATTATTGTTTTCCTATGGTCTCTTTCTCTGGAAACTGTAGAAAATTAGCCCTCTCTGAATTTTGCTACTTCTATAGGGCACCCAATCAAAAACTTGGCATGCCTCCATGCAAATATAAAGTGGATGGGGTTGTGACATAGTGGTTTCATGCTAGTTTCATGAAAGTTTAACCCTTTCTATAGACCTTGTTGCATTGTTGCTTTTGAAAAACAGCAGTTTATAGGGAGAAACTAAAAAAGACAGGTACCAGAGTAGAAGAATGCAATTGCAAATCAACTAAAAATGGCAACTAATTCTGATGTCATATTTTGTGACAGTTGTGATTCAGATATTCAACAGAATCTGTTTAAACTAGGTATGTCCAATATATGGCCCATGGGCCACATGTGACCCTGAACAGCTAGTAATTCGACCCCACAAGATAATATATATATATATAAAGGAAGTTTATTATTTATATACGTTACCTACATTATATATTTTATATGCAGCCTAAAACTGTTCCTCTTCATTCAGTGCAACCTAGGCAACCCAAAAGATTGGACAACCATGTTCTAAACCATTTCACCATTTGGTGGGAGTCATGGCAAATGCATGTATGTGGAAAGAGACAGAGACATTAACATTGGAAGAGAATGATTTAAATAACTGAGATGTATATTGCATTTATTCAAAAGATAGGCAACCATAATTTAAGATCTATCCTTCCCACAAAAATGTTTAGATAAAAACCAATTATTTGCTTCTATAATATGGGGGAAAGGTAGCCTTATTTTCTGATAAATGTTCCTGTTGATAGCTGGTCTGTTCACAAATGCATATTTTGAGGACAGTGCTTGTTAACACCACAAAATTATTTTTAGTCCTTTTAAGTCGCTGACATATATAAAAATACTCTGAGGGGTACTTGATGCTCTCTGAACTTGGTTGTTTTCTTGCAGACATTTCATTACCCAAACTAGGTAACATGATCGGTGTTAGCAAGAAAACCAAGCTCAGAGAGCATCAAGAACCCCTCATTTCAACCCTGAGTCACAAATGTTTTCCTTTATTAAAATCCACTCTGCAATAAGTTACTCATCTTTTAGCTTGGCAGGCTATATTGTCTTGATAAGTGATTGCATTTTACAACAAATAAAGCAGACATGCAAAGTGAAATGATTCTCTATGCAGCTTCTTTTTTTGCAATAAAGTATTTCTGTTTAATATGGGTACCAAAGAACAATAACTGATTGCCAGCATTAATTATGAATGAATGCAAATATGAGGCCACCTGTTACTATTGAATGATGGCTATTAATTTCTACCCTTTTGTGTCTATAGTTTAAATAATCAATGAGAAGAATTTACTCACTCTGTAAAAGGAAAGTTTCAAATTTGTTCTTTTATTATGTGGTTTCTTATGCAGTCTCTTATTGACATGTTCATGGAATTTATTCATCAGTTCATTTTTGAAGCTGTTTAAAAAAGTTGATTACTTATAAACATATTTCTACAGGGAACATGTGACACATTTTTGAACTTTTAAAATATTTTTCTTTATAAGTTCAAGTGAAGTTATTCATTAGAGTCAATTATCAATTGCTATAAGTATTGAGAAATTTGGAATTTTAGAATCAGGACTGAAAAATCAAAACTGAATTTTCCTATAAATCAGAGATAGATGAGCACTTAAAAACTCTCTAGATGTAAGGAATTCATTGTTACCATGGTCTTAGCTATAAAGCTTTATGGTACAGAGATAACTAAGATCTTCCTTGTATTGACTGTGGCTGACAACATTTGGAAATCCCACATAAAGACCTGGGGCTTCATTTCTCTGGAAGCTTCTATGGGCTTCTAAGTTAGTACATTGTGCCTGGGGAGTGGTGCATAAAAATGTCAATTACATGTGCTTCTTTTTTCTGTGTAGACCTAAGGGGAAGTTTCTACAACTTGAGCTTTTCTCCTGCTTCTGCTATCTTAAGGTTATCAGCCTTGAATGACGACAGAGGTACATAGCAAAAGATGGTTAACAGTCTTAACCACCCATTCAAAAGTATGATTAGTTGCCGTAGAATTAGTTGCACCTTCATAAATCCAAAGCTGTTTGACACATTTCTGATAAGAATTAGATAGTGATGTTTTTTCAGTACTGGCGTTAATAGAATAAAAATGAGCAATGCCCATCATTGGCTACAGGGTCCCCAATCTCTGGGTTATAGACTGGCATCAGGCTTTGGCACCCCAGAAATTGGCCGTGCAAAGGAGTGAAGCCCCATCTGCACACGCACAGGAAAACCTCTCTCCACGGAATTGGTACCTGGCACCCAAAAGGTTGGGAGCCGCTGGGCTACAATATTTTCTGCTTTTCTATTAAAGGTGCACAATGCAAATGCTTCATCAGATTTGACCATCATTCTGTTTGGGGTTGAGGAATCTGTTCTGCTGTTCTCCTAAAGAACAGAGTTCAGATTATCGCACAGTCTTTTTACTGATAGCTCTAGTTTTGTCAATCAACTTGAGAACATTTATGCTTTTTTCATGTACTGTAGTTTAGGAAATTGGGTAGGATAGGTTATTCTCTGTTAACTAAGGCGTTTTGATTCTTTACTCCTGGTTTGTTTTGCTATTATGTTTTATAATGTAGATCATGATTTAATGATTGCCAACGCTCTTGAGCACATCTGGAAAAACATATTTTTAAAAATATATCACACAATTTTTGCTTCACATGACCAAATATACTGGATGCCTGTAATGTGCACTTAGCCTTTAAAAAAAACCAGTTTTAATAATATATGAAAATCTCAATAGACATTTTCCTACTCTTGAGGTATTGCGTTTTCTGTTCATCTTTGAAGCAATAAAATTATGGTGGCATGGCACTTGCCAATTCCTGCCCTGCCTTTATTGTTTTTATTTCCAATCATTGCCAGTCACTTAATTTCCCTATAAGTTAATAGCTGGTTCTTTTGGATGCCTTTGACATAAGGAGTAATTTTTACTTTTAACCTTAGTTCCATTTAGCATGTCTTAAAAGCCATGGGGATAAGATAAAGGCAATGTTGTGAGGATGTTAAAAAATGCAGAAGCCTTTGAGGAAAGGGGAGCAGCTTAGGAGAACCACTTCAATTTGCAATTGTTATTAATTTTTTTTCCCCAGCAGCGGCGGCTGAAAAAAGAGATGTGCGAGCAAATTTGTCTTTTTCCGGGGAGGGCGGGGGCGGAACTCGTAGGCGCTCTCTCTCTCTCTCTTTCTTTTTCTTTTTGGACCAAGTGGTCCTCAGGATGGGAAGCATCTATTGGCTAGGGACAGGGAGGGAGGCAGCAGGGAAAATGACCCAGGATGGGTGGACAGAGACTTCCCTCGTCCTCTTCACACGCCATTTCCTGCTTTCGTGTTTACTTCCCGGTTCACCTCTCCCGTCACGGGCACAGCAAATCAAACGCTGCTTTCAAGTGAAGTCCAAGACGGGAGAAGCAGGGGAGTGAATGGGGCTACAGGGAAGAGTTGTCCAGGAAGGTAAGTCCGGGGTGGCCTCTCTCGAGCGCTTTCCCGCAATTGGAGCCCAGCCCCGATCTGACTTAAGCTGCTTCGCCTTCTCCTCTTGCAGGTTTATCCGGAGCCGCGCACCGAGAGCGAGTGCCTGAGCAATATCCGCGAGTTTCTTCGGGCATGCGGCGCCACCCTTCGCCTGGAGGTGAGGAAATGGGATGGGAGGCGACGGCATGTCTACCTGTGGAGCGTCGGGGGAAGGGGGAATGGGGTGGCGGAGGACCACCGCCGCGGTAAAATCTCTGCAAAAGTATGAATCGGCACGAGCGGGAGCTGGGACAGAGTGGCTGCGAGCAAGAAACCTCCCTGTCTCTGTTTTACACAGGCGAGTCTCTCCATAGCCCAATATTAATATGCTTTCTATCTGTATGCCTATAAGCTGTTTGTTCACACGCATCATTCCTATAATTTCTCTACATTTAAAACCATAATTTATGCCACCCTCCTGTTGTTTGAACAGTGTTTTTGCAATCAGGCTTAAATGTGTTTCCTACGAAGGACAAGCTCTAGGAAAGATATGATAGATAAGCGGTTTCTGGAGAACTCTGTGTTGTGTTGGAATGCTTGTCTTGGGGGTGAGAATAATTACCTCACAATGCCCAGGCTACTCCTGACTGGTATTAGCCTCACAGCTGAAGGTATTCTAGTGTGATTTCTGCTAGAGAACTAGTAAGATATTATGATTGGAGAAAAAAGTTAATCTCCACTTTGTGTATTCGGTAGCTTTTTTTTTATATGTCTCTTCAGAAACTAGCCCACCACAGTGAAGCCTAATAAATTGTGAAAATCTAGCCTGTGCAATTTGATTATGGTGTGGTATGTTATGAGCTTGAGTTAATTCAATAAAGTTAATAAGACTAAACCTGTTGTGTAAATATAACCAGTTTTGCCCTTGTGAGCAATTTAGTTATAGCTCTTTTCATGTTAGGAAATTGAGAGCCAGTTTGGTATAGTTTAAGTGCTGCTAGGAATCAGAAGATTATGAGTTCTAGACCTTCCTTAGGCATGAAAGCTGGCTTGGTGACTTTGGGCTAGTCACGGTCTAGCACCACAACCCATTTCACAGAGTTGCTATGGGGAAAAAAAGGAGGAAGGAGTATTATGCGTGTTCACTATCTTGAGTTGACCAAATTTAAAAAAGGTGGGATATATGGGCATTTAGAGCATCCTATATATTTATGGGTGTGTCTGGCTTTCCTATTGAAGGTTCTGCTATTAAACATGTTTTAATGTACTACTGGAGGCAAAGTCCACCATGACAGAAGTGCCCACTCATTGATAAAGTGTCATTTCTATCATGTCCAAAATTCTTTTAGTAAGCTTTTCACTAGTTGCAGAATTGTTTGATTTGTAGTTTCATATGTACATTTGCTGTCTCACATGATACACAAAATTACTCTTCATCTTATAATCTGTCTTGGAAATCCTACTCCTGCAAATCTAGTATGCTATTCCCTTTTGGTAAAAGTATGCAAATAATTCCTTCTCTTGCCCCTTATGAAGGAACGAAGGAAAAAGAAATTAACTAAATTTAGTTATCAACACCATTCACTACATCTATGATCTCTATTTCCCCATTGCTTTCTATTCTTGCAAACATATCTGTACTCTGCTTTATATGTTGCCTTTTGTTCTTTAAACTTGCCACTTCTCTCTTTTGAAGGATCTTATTACCTCCTTCTAACCACTACTTTTTGGCATTTTCTGTCTTCTGAACCCCTTTTTCCCTTCCTTTATAGATATAATTTTGCAATTTGTTCCTCATCCATTTTCTGTGCTCTAACCATATTATCACTTCTTCATTTTTTATCTTTAGTAAGTGTTCTACTATTCACTGTATTGTCACTTTCAAATTACAACCTTGATCTTCAATACATTGATTTTTAGATTCATACTTCTTGCTTTATTATACTGTGTCTAATGTTTGCTATAAATCCTAAGGATTCTTAGCTAGCAGGTGTATTGCATCTGCATGAAAAGATAAATACAATTTTTTTTGAACATACATAATCTGTATGTCATTATATTTATTACACAAAAATCCATAAAATGCATCAAGGAGATCTCATTCATCTTTGTTCCATTCTCTACTCTGGATGGTAAATGTTTATTACCATAATTTCCAGCGTATAAGACGACTCAGCGTATAAGACGACCCCCGATTTCGGAGCCGATTTGCATGCCTAGAAAGTTGTCTTATACGCCGGAAAATACAGTACATTTACTAAGTATTCCATTCATTTTCTCTCATACATTTGTTTGGTTTTATTTTGGCACAATATGTGAGCTCAACTATTGAGAGTTATTAGCAGAACTACTATATATCTTAGCATTTTGGACCAACACAGACAGTTGTTTATTTAGTAGCCAGTGGTTTAAGAAATTGCCTTAAAATTATATATGCCTATGTCAGGGATCATACTATATCTGGGGTGCAGTGTGTCTGTTGATGTTCTCTTTGGTGCCACAAGGCTATCTTCTGTGTCTGACTATTTACATTAAAAAAGTATAAACAAACAAATTGAAGCTGATATTAAGAAAGCAAAGCATCACTTTTTAGCATCATATTTATTTCCAAAGCTGACCCTGAGAATTCTTAGAAAGTAAGAATGGGTGGTTGCTTTTTTTTACAAGTATACTGACCTGTCCAGTTAAAGTATAAAAATTTTATTTATTTATTTAGAATTAAAATATGTACAAGTTAAGCAGATCTTATCCAGAAACTAGCAATATTAATTGTATTCTGTCTCATTGCCATGAGATCCACAAAGGACAGGTATACATAATGTGTTGTCTGCATGTCACCACAATCACAACGGGCAGAAGCTACCAGTTAGCCCCAGTTGTTCAGAATGTCTCTGGATGTTGTTTTACCCATGTGCAGTCTATTCAATGATTTCTCTACTTCCCAGCTTTTGCCAGACCCAGGTACCAGCTACTCCATTGGTTCCATGCAGTGTTGGTTCTTTGTAGCTTTCCTTAGGTCCTCTCTGCTTTTAAATTCTTCAAAGTCTTCCCCGTTGACCTAAGGAAGATTTTCCTAGATTTTAATGTCTGATGAACTGGTTTTAGGACATAGAGAGGGTGTTGTCTAAATCAGGGGTCCGCAACTCCTGGTTCGTGGACCAGTACTGGGCCGTGGCATGCCAGCAACCGATCTGCACAAACAAGCAAAGCCCCATTAGTGGGATGCAGGCAGCACACAAAACCATGCTGTTTACCTGTTAGAGCCCGATCTAGAGTGACCCCTAAATGTTTAGGGCTGTAGCAATACTCCTGTAGTGTCCTTTTCATATAATATGCAACTTCCTAGCAGCCTCTTATTGCGAAGATGGAATGCATATACCCGAGTTTTTGCTGGATTTGGCCTTAATTGGTTATCCTAATAGAATTGATCCAGCTCTACCAGAGCTGCAGTTAAACAATGTTCAATCTCATCAGATGTTTTTTCCCTGTGCAGCCATTGCTTGATGATCAGCTTACATATAGTTGTTAGTATCTTCAGGGAGTGGCTGATCATTGGTACAGATATTAAAAAAGGTTGGAGTCAATACACTACCCTGTGATAAGCTGTTCCTTTGGTTCTTCCATCTACTTTGCCTTCCCTGGAACTCCACAATAAAAAAGTGGTTCTGAAGCAGATACCTGATTATATTTGTAAGTTTCAAATTTTTAATTATATCATAAACTTTCTGCTTCAGTCTTCAAAGCATCCAAAGCACAGTATAAAGATAAAGTGGGATGCTCGGTAGCATTCTGGTAAATTGGTATTTTGTGTGTGGTTGTACTGACAGTCTTTGTGAATGGGAGGGACCCCAATAATAATTCTGAAAGTGTGTTCAGAAGATGAACTCTCTATTTTGAATATGATCATTTGTTCAAAAAGGTTTTGGTACACATGGCATCTGTTTTTATGCAAACAAATTATTATTTTTTTCATTTTCAGAATTAGTGTGGTCTAAAAGTGGGCCACAATAATTGGAATTTGGAATGTGGAAAGACGATAATAAAAGTATTAGTTCCTCACTTGACTTAAAATCTAAAAAGTTTCCTTGTTTAAATAAGCCAGTAGGAATAGATTTATAAATGTACCAGCGGGAAACTCTGGAATCATTTATTCAAAGCATGCCAGCGCTTTACTTGGAAGAGCTCCCAGTGTGGCTTGCAAATCAAGAAAAAGTCTGTTCTGCCTTCCAAGTTTACACACTAAAAAGAAATGACATGAATAAGAATAGAGTAGAGAAAGGAAAACAAGAATATTCAGATACTAATGCACATACACATACACCTATCTATCTATATATCTATCGATCTATCAATCTGAATAGGTTCATCCAAGATAGAGTACCAAAGTGAATCTGTCTTTTTAAAGGATTGTCATATCTTGATTGTAATATCAATTTCTTGGGATATTCAGGTAGGGAGATTAAATTTAGATGAGTCATCTTCTCTAGTAGATTATTAAAAAAACCCAAATCTATTATTGTCACTGGATTGTATTACATAATGTGTAGTTAGAAGGCTAACAAAATTTTCAAATGTCTTTTGGACACTTGATGTAAATACCTGTTCAATGCTTGTGGCCAAGTGCTAAGGCAGGACTTCCTTCAGACCCTTCCTCCCTCTCATTATAATCTTCCTTCCTTCCTTCCTTCCTTCCTTCCTTCCTTCCTTCCTTCCTTCCTTCCTTCCTTCCTTCCTTCCTTCCTTCCTTCCTTCCTTCCCTCTCTCCTTCCTTTCTTTCTCCCTTTTCTTCTTTTTCCTTCCCTCTTCATTCTCCTTTCCTTCTTCCTTCCCCTCTTCCCCTCTTTTTGTTTGTCTTTCCTCTTATATATGGTGATGGAATACCTTCTCCATGGCTAAGGTTGTCATAGGAGACACAATTTGTTCTCTAATGCCTTGGTGCTATCCCTTACGCTGTAATATTTGCCTCTTGAAGCAGTGCTAATAATCCACTGACTATGTAGCATTGTATTTATTATTGTTAGGGTTTTTGTCTAATGACAAGAAAGCTAGTCATACAGAATTGAATTAGTTATTAATGGGTCAAAGAGAAAGTCTAGTCTATGGTTTCAGTTGAGATTGAGTAATAAAGTGGTGAGATATTAGACTGCCAGATATTCTAGGGAGTACATGTACCATGAA